CTCTTTTAAATAGACTTTCAGATTTTTGTGATTTAGTTAAAGTAAGAGAAATATATCCTGAACCGTCTTCATTAACACACCAGTTAAAAAAAGGAAATTCAAATGGTGCTACAAACTCATTAAGTAGTATAGCTTACACAAAACACGGAAGACCTTTCTGCTTTTAGTATTTTGCAACTGATTCCATGGCATTAAGTAACTCTTGTGGGAAACTAAACAATATGAATATTGCCACCATAAAATAACTATGAAGTAAGAGGCTCAAAAACATTTTTTATATATATTTCTGTCAGCTTAATTGATTTATTAAAGAAATGATTAACCTGTAAATCAATTACTAGAGTAGGAATTACTTAAAGCCCTGGAGTGAACAAATCTTTGCACAGTCAAATATTTTTTAGTTCATTAATTAATGGAATCACATACATTCATATTTATATGTATCAATCCTGAATGTATATTATTTTATATCTATGAACGTTAGTCTTTCTGGTTTTGCTGATAATCAAAACTCTACCATGTGTGTGTAGGGTCCATTAGTGTCCAGCATAAGTACTTGTCTGTTTCCATATGTCCCATGCTTCACGGTCACCTCCACTTCTTTCCCTGTTACATCAGCGGCAGCTTTCAATTCTTTCTCACACAGTGAGACAAATGAGTGGTAGAGCTGCAGCCCATCCTCTTTGCTTATGTTATTGTGGTACTGCATGGCTTTGCCTTTCGCTCTTCCACCCAGCGTGGCCTGAGGGACGATTAGCAGGCTTCCAGGAAGTTCCAACACCGAGGCCCGTTTTCCACAAGGCATCTCGCACAGCCGCAGGTTGAGCAGCGTGGACACTTGACCGATGAAAAAAAAAACATAACATTTACACTCTGTGCAGAAATGTTTATATTTTAAAAGGGTTCAACGTACCCATCTTGGGCAAAATGTCCTCTGTAGCACCTTTGAAGAAACATATGTAGATCACCATTCCTCTGTCAATCTGATATTAAAGAAGAGTACAGATCTTAGCATTTAGAATTTTTTTAAAAAAAGACACAATTTCAAAAAAATAAAAAGGAATTCTGGTTACTTTCTATAAACATGAAAATCATTTCAAATTCAATTTAATTGCAACATACACACACATCCTATCAGGATATTATATTACTATTAACCCCACTAAGGTTATTCAAATAAATTGAACCATTTGTTTGTTTTCCAGAAAAAACAAAAGCAAACCTGTGGAAATAAGTTCAATATTCTGAGACTTAAAGTTGATTATCTGTATACCGCACCAAGATGGCGCCACCAGATCACGTCAGCGCCCATATGTGGGGTCTGTGTCAATGGTCTGAGCTCCTGAAGCGGATCTACTGTGAGCTATGAGCCGCCAACTCAGCAGAGTTTGAATATCCAACTTCAAACTAACTACACCGCGGTAATAACGCGGTAGTTCTTCCAGATACAAACCCTGCCTTGTGATAAATGGTGATACCTGGACGAACTGAGCTTCAGAGTGCTCATTCGCTTCCTGGACCTGCAGTCGGGCGTGTAAACACTGCTGTAGCACCGTCCGAGCCAGCGGTCCGCGGCTGTTTTCTGCCATTTTCCTGTTCCCTTCAATGGTCTGGTCCAGCAACAGGCGACCATAGATAGACGACAGCTAAAACACATGCAATCCTTCTTCCTAAGTTTTTGTTTTCTTCTTTTTCTCTTTGTTAACTTCTTCTTCTTCGATCTATTGGCGGTTGGCAACAATCATTGAGTAGCATTACCGCCACCTAATGGTATGGAGTGTGGTTCGTGACGGACTACCTACTAATAAACATATAATTTCTAATGAAAAAAAAAAATCTACTAAATTAATCTTTTCCTTTGTACATTCAAACTCTGTCCTCATATATCTTCTCTCGCTTATGGCATTCCAGTATAACATGTTCTATTGTTTCATATTTCCACAGTAGTGTGCTTTTCAATTTTGAAAAGTGTATAATTAAGTCCTGTATGCCCAAATCTTAACCTTTTTATCACTCTCCTTTACGTTTTGTCTTCTGTATCTTCTGAATTTTATAAAACCATCTTCCCGTTTTTTCTTCATCCCACCCTTTTTTGCCATTTTTCCATAAATTTTTCTTGAATAATACTCTTTCCCTCAGATTTACTTGTTTTAACTGTAAAACTAATAGGATTTTAAATTGCCCTCTTTGCCATTTTATCTGCCCTCTCGTTTCTCTTTGTTTACTGGCTAAAAAAAAAAA